CTGATAAGGTAAAAATTACAGCGTGCCCATCTTGTCTGCTCTGGACAAGGTTGTTTACCGATGGAAATCTTGCGATCTGATTGTGGCGTTCTGGGACCAGCCCCATCATCTTTGGGGCAACGGAGGCCTGGGCTGCCGCACAGAAGTAAACTGTGTTCGGCTCTGCGTGTTCCCACCTCACACATCCTGGAGGAAGCTTAGAAGAAGGTGCAGACAGAAATGCAGAAATGTGGGGAGTCAGAGCTGAGCTGTGTTCTGTATGATGCTGCCACCGAGAACCCTCAGCTGAGGTTCAAGTATAAGCGCTTAGAAGATAAAACGTCGAGTTATGAACCGGCTCCTTACTGGGAGCAATACAGAAAGCTGGTGATGGAGGGTGGGACCAACAGGAAGTAGAAAGATCAAGGGACATAGCCTTATTTCTATTATTAGGACTTCCGGGCATGGCAAGAAGCTTACATATTTCGTAACAAAATACTTGTCTTATTGAAGAGTTGAGGAATCTGGGAGCTAAAGGAATTACTGTTTGCTTGAGTTTATAGATCAAATCAAGGAGCCCTGGTGGCACAATGGTTAAGTGCTCAGCTGCTAACCAAAAGGTTGGCAGTTCAAACCTACCCAGCGGCTCCGCAGGAGAAAGAGCTGGTGGTCTGCTCCTGTAAAGATTACAGTCCAGGAAACCCTATGGGCAGTTCTACTCTCGGGTTGCTATGAGTCCAAATTGACTCGACGGCACCCAACAACGATAACATAGATCAAAATCTGAGACAAACATCTAAGATAGTCCACTGGTCTCACCCCGTCTGGAGCAAGGGAGAATGCAGAAAACCAAAGACACAAGGGACTAATGGACCACAGCTACCACAGCCTCCACCAGACTGAGTCCAGCACAGCTGGATGCTGCCCGGCTACCACCACTGACTGCTCTGACAGGGATCACAACAGAGGGTCCCAGACAGAACTGGAGAAAAATGGAGAACAAAATTCTAACTCACAAAAGAAAAAAAAAAAAGACCAGACTTACTGGTCTGACAGAGACTGGAGAAACCCCAAGAGTATGGCCCCCAGACACCCTTTTAGCTCAGTAATGAAGTCACTTCATTACTAAGGTTCACCCTTCAACCAAAGGTTAGACAGCCCCATAAAACAAAACGAGACTGAAGGGGCACACCAGTACAGGGGCAAGGACGAGAAGGTAGGAGGGGACGGGAAAGCTGGTAATGGGGAACCTAAAGTCAAGAAGGGGAGAGTATTGACATGTTGTGGAGCAGTTAATCAGTGTTAAAAAACAGTATGTGTACTAACTGTTTACTAAGAAGCTAGTTTGTTCTGTAAACCTTCATCTAAAGTACAATAAAAAAAAATCCGAGGCCAAGCTCTGTCTAGATGCCATTGTCCCTGGAATACACGTTACCCAATTGCAACATTGGCGGCTGCATGAAAACACCTGTTAGTTCACGTTCCTCTCAAGCCTTTTTCTGCATTTCCTCTTTTCGGGATGATTTCTCGTAATTTTACTAACATAATACAACCTTGTTATGTTGTCGTTGGGTGCTGTCAAGGAGATTCTGACTCATAGTGCCCCACATGACAGAGCAGAACTGCCTCGTAGGATTTCCTAGGTGTAATCTTTATGAAAGCAGATAGCCAGCTCTTTCTTTCGAGGTACCACTGGGTAGGTTCAAACCGTCAACCTTTTGGTTAGCAGCTAAGCGCTTAATGGTTTGCGCCACCAATGAAAATTTATTCTTTACCTCAGAATTACCTGTTGATGAGAGAACATGCTTTAAACATTGACCATGGCTGATTGTCTGCCTCTTCGTCTCTTACACAACAGCTTCTTTTCTTCACTCCGTAGATCTCTTTCTACGCCTGCCCTGTTAAAATATTTACGATTGGAAACTTTCTGTTAAAAGCCAAGGTTGCTTATCACCTCCTTGCCTTCTCCCCAGGAAGTTAGTAGATTTGTTTATTTGCTTGACAGTGTGGAAAATTTAACATACAGAAAGGGATATAAAGAATCGATTGCTCGTGTGTAACTTTGTTTTTTCGTGTTGCCATGTGCTATCAATAGCATTCCAAAGTCTACGGAACGGTAGGAAAGAAAAGGAAATCCTTTGTGATGTGGTCTTGTGAACAGTTTTCTCTCCTCCAGCCATCTTTGATATCCTCTTCCTTTTGGTGGTGTAAATGGTGTGCACTTGGCTACTAATGGAAAGGTTGGAGGATCCAGTCCACCCAGAGGTGCCTCCGAAGAAAGACCTGGTGATCTGCTTTTGTAAAGAACACAACCAAGAAAGCACTATAGAACACGGTTCTACTGTGGAACACATGGCGGTGCCATGTGTTGGAATGGATTCAACCAGAACTAATAAAAACAACTAACCTAAAGGTTGGTGATTTGAACCCACCCAGTAGCTCTGAGGGAGAAAAGACCTGGCGATCAGCTTCCTTAAAGATTATAGCCAAGAAAACCCTAGGGAGCACAGTTCTACTCTGTAACACATGGGGTCGCCATGAGTCGGAATGGACTCGACAAAAACGGGCTTTTTCCCTTAGGGGAATGCTTTTCTTTCATCCTGAGAGCCTTCTTTCCTCCTCCCTCATCAGTGTTATCCCGTGAGCAGACAGTGATGGAAGGGACAGTGACCCTTTTTAAGCTTACTGCATGCCAGGCACGCAGGCTGTCATATATATAGACTTTTGTTCCAGCTCCGACTTGACCTTTCCATCTGGGCACCTAACAACAGCAACAACAGTCCAGTCTAGTCTTTTGTCTGAAGAGTGGACTTCAGGAAAGGCTTCAGTTCTGGGCTAACATGTCTTCTGCGGTTCCTCCAGTCTCAGTCAGACCTTTAAGTCTGGTCTTTTTACGTGAATTTGAGTTCTGCACCTCACTTTTCTCTTGCTCCGTCAGGGACTCTCTGTTGTGTTCCCTGTCATGGCAGTCATCGGTGGCAGCCGGGCACCATCTAGTTCTTCTGGTCTCAGAGCAGCAGTAGCTCTTAACCATTACGCCACCAGGGCTCCAGTCTAATCTTTGGCTGAAGGGTGAACTTCAGAAGTATAGCCCACTCTTGAGTCTTCCCACTCATGGAAGGAAACAGGGTCACAGATTACACAACAACCACAATGCTTTCCATTTTACCCATTAAATGGCTTCTCACAGATGTACATTGGTAATTAAACTTTGCACCGCAGAGCCACATTAGCCAAGGAAAGAATGGAAGTTCACTGGGTATGAGATAAGTCCACTGGATTTTAGTATCTGCAAGTAATCATGCTCAATTCAGGTGTTCTAAATTTTTATAATTCATTCTGTTATTTAGGGCTTCATCTCTACTTCTGGCATTATTGTTTGGTGTTCACACCGAAATCCATTGCCATCCAGTGGACCCCAACTCATGGTGACCCCTGTGTGTTGGTTATCTCATGCTGCTATAACAGAAATACCTCAAGTGGATGCCTTAACAATAAAAAATTTATTCTCTCACAGTCTAGGAGGCTAGAAGTCCAAATTCAAGGCGCCAGCTCCGGGGGACGGCTTTTTCTCATTGTTGGTTCTGGGCGAAGGTCCTTGTCATCAATCTTCCCCTGGTCTAGGAGCTTCTCAGCACAGGAACCCCAGGTCCAAAGGACACACTCTGCTCCTGGCTCTTCTTGCTTGGTGGTAATGAGGTCAATGAGATCCCCCTGTCTCTCTGCTCACTTCTCTCTTTTAGATCTCAAAAGAAATTGGCTCAAGACACCATCTAATCTTGTAGATTTAGTCCTGCCTCATTAACATGGCTGCTGCTAATCCTGCCTCATTAGCGTCATAGAGATAAGATTTACAACACATAGGAAAATCACATCAGATGACAAAATGGTAGACAATCACCCAATACTGGGAATCATGGCATAGCCAAATTGATACACATATTTTTGGGGGACACCATTTATTTGCCTATTCTAGATATTTCATACCAGTGGGATCATGCAGTATTTGTCCTTTTGTGTCTGACTCAGCACCAAGTTTGCTAGGTTCATCCATGTTGTGGCATGTATTAGGACTTCCTTTCTCTTTCTGGCTGAGTCATACTCCTTTGTAGGAATTCGCACATCTTGTCTATCCGTTCATCTGTTGGTGGACATTTGGGTTGTTTCCACACTTTGGCTAGTGTGCTGTAATGGACATCGGTGTACATGTGTCTGTTTACGTCCCTGTTGTCATGTCTCTTGGATGTGTACCTAGGAGTGGGATTGCCGGGTTAGATTGTAGATCTATGTTTACCTTTTTGAGGAAATGCCAAATTTTGTGTTTTCGAGCCGCCTCTTCTCTTTGAAGGTGTGTGTGAAATGCTTCAGCTTTGTTGTGTGTGCTACAAGCCAGTCTTCGAGCCAAGTAAGGAACGTATTCAACACGCACACAAACTTGTCAACATCTTGAAGTAAACATCAGTTCCTCTCCACTCTTGACCAGTCACTGGGCGCGTCTGTGGTGTCTGTGCAGTGTGTGTGAGTGTCTGTTTGTGGTGTGTGTGCAGTGTGTGTATGTGTGTGGTGTGTGTGTCTGTGTGGATCATGTGTGTGTGTATGTGGTGTGGTGTGTGAGTAACATCTGCATGTAATATGTGTGTGCCTGTGGGTTGTGTGCGTGAGTGTGTATGATTATGTTTGAGTGTGTGGTGGTGTATGGTGTGTATGTGAGTGTGCGTGTGGCAAGTTTGTGAGTGTTTGAGAGTATATGAGTGAGTGCATTTGTGGAGTGTCGTGTGAGTTTATATGTATGCCTGTGGATGTGTGTGTGTGAGTGTATATGAGTGAATGGGGCATGTGTGTATGACTGTGTGTGTGTAAGACATGTATTCCATTGAGGACTCCACACGAGCATCCCTCGCTCAGTAAACGCTGCCCCCTGCGCACACCTGGTGTGGCCCTGAGCTGCCATACCCCGCAGCCCCATCCTGAGCTCACTGCCCCCCGTCCCCGTCCCTGACGCCTGTCCTTGCTCCCTGCAGGCACGGGCACGTTCGGGCGGGTGCACTTGGTGCGGGAGAAGACGGGCAAGCGCTTCTTCGCGCTCAAGGTGATGAGCATCCCCGACGTCATCCGCCTGAAGCAGGAGCAGCACGTGCACAACGAGAAGTCGGTCCTGGAGGAAGTCAGCCACCCCTTCCTCGTCCGGCTGTGAGTGTCCCTGGGTCCCCCTGCCTTCTCCTCACGCTCCACACTTGGTGGGTCTTACACGGAGCGCCATGGCGGGTGTTGTGGGTTGAATCATGTCCTCCAAAACTCATGTTAGAGTCCTAACCCCTGTACCTGCGGATGGTCCCTGGGCAGTGAGGGCTGTGCATGCGATCAGCTGCTAACTGAAAGGCTGGCAATTCAAGGCTACCCAGAACTGCCTCGGAAGAAGGGCCTGGCGACCTGCTTCTGAAAGGTCACAGCCCTGAAAACCCTATGCAGCACAGTTCTTCTCTGACACATATGGGGTCCCCATGAGTCAGAATCAATTTGACAGTAACTGGTGGGTAGTTCAGACAGTTCATGGGCCAGCCTAAGTGAAAGGTTAGTCATTTGAGACAACCCAGAAGTGCCTCAGAAGAAAGTTCTGGCAATCTGCTTCCAAAAAGTGAGAGCCGTGGAAACCCGATGGAGTGCAGTTCTGCTCTGCACACGTGGGGCCGCCATGAGTAGGGGTTGACTCCACAGCTAACACCGTCCACCACAATAGTCCCTGTGGAGGTGACCCTGTGTGAGAATAGGGGTTTTTGTTCTGTTAGTGAAATCCTATCAGTATAGATGGATCCTAAATCTAATCACTTGAGATATTAAAAGGGCAGACACACGGGAGCAGACAGACACCATCTGAAGATGGAACTCCAATGATTGCTGGTTACTAGAAGCTGAAACAGATGGCACTGTTGTGATCCACAGGGTTTTCATTGGCTGATTTTCAGAATTAGAGTGCCAGGCCTTTCTTCTTAGTCTTAGTCTGGAAGCTCCGCTGAAACCTGTTCAGCATCACAGCAACACATAAGCCTACACTGACAGACGGGTGGCGACTGCACATGAGGTGCACTGGCTGGGAATCGAACTCAGGTCTCCTGTGTGGGAGACTAGAATTCTCCCACAGAACCACGACTCTAGTTAATCCTGTTGCGTGAAACAAAATAGCCATTTGTAGAGAGGAATTTATCTCACTGAGGTTGTAAGATTTTTTTTCTTAAGTACATGTGGATTCCTTTGTAATATTGCCATCATGTTCTCACACGTTTTAGGCACAAAGTCTTGGCTTTTACCAAATACCGGAAGTCCCAAACTCGACAGAAGTTACACCTCCAGCTTTGTTGTTAACGACACTGACGTTACTTCATTGCAGACCCGACCTGTAAACCAAAAGCAAACCCGTTGCCACCGAGTCGATTCCGAATTCTGACTCACAGCGACCCTATAGGACGGAGTAGAACTGCCCCATGGGGTTTCCAAGGAGCGCCTGGTGGATTTGAATTGCTGACCTTTTGGTGAGCAGCTGAGCTCTTAATCACTGCACCATTAGGGCTGCAGACCAGACTTATAACGTGATCTTTTCAGTATTTTGTGCCATAAAGAGCATCAGTTGTCATGGGTTGAATTATGTCCCCAAAAATGTGTGTATCAGTTTGGCTGGGCCATGATTCCTGGAATTGTGTGATTTTCCTGTATGTTGTAAATCCTGCCTCTATGATGTTAATGAGGGAGGATGGGTGGCAGTTGTGTTAGTGAGGCAGGACTCAGTCTACAAGATTGGATTGTGTCCTGAGGCAATGTATTGAGATACAAAAGAGGAAGTGAGCAGAGAGACAGGGGAGCCTCGTACCACCAAGAAAGCAGTGCCAGGAGCAGAGTGTGTCCTTTGGACCTGGGGTCCCTGTGTGGAGAAGCTCCTAGTCCAGGGGAAGATTGATGACAAGAACCTTCCTCCAGAGCCGACAGAGAAAGCCTTCCCCTGGAGCTGACGCTCTGAATTTGGACTTTTAGCCTACTTGACTATAAGGAAATAAACTTCTCTTTGTTAAAGCCATCCACTTGTGGTATTTCTGTTATAGCAGCACTGGATGACTAAGACAGTTGTTAATCTGAAATGAGGTACTGGACTTACGTCAGAACTGACTGAGGACAGAGCCTTCGGAACGGGAACCCCGTTGTAAGTTGGTGACTGCCTGTACTCTGCATTTAGAATAAGAGATTCCAGGATTGAGTACCTTTCCACACTTCTTATTACTCAAAGCAGAAACATAGGGCATTTGGCCCCAGTGCAAGGACTCTTGACTGAGACATCATGACAGAAGACATGTCAGTAGCTATCTGGGTGGTGTAACCAGAGAACATTTCTCCAGCAAACAACAACTAAAAGAACATTCTTCCTGCACTCTGTAGCACTTGATGCTTTGACGCCACAAATTCCAAGCTTGCGGAGCTGCAAAATACAGGTGGGGAGATGGAGGGACCACCTTCAGGGAGCTGAGAAGGTCAATGCCAGAAATACAGCCACAGGTACCCCGATGATGCCCCTGGGCACCTGGTCTGCAGAGCAGGGAGACAGCAGCAGGGTGGAGATGGGGAGGTGGTTCTGCAACCTTATCTGATAGTTAGAGCTGCTTTAACACAAATACCACAAGTGGGTGGTTTTAAAGAACAGACATTTATTTTCTCACAGTTCAGGAGGTGAGAAGTCCAAACTCAGGGCGCCGGCTCTAGGGGAAGGCTCTCTCTCTCTCTGTCAGCTCTGGGGAAAGGTCCTTATGTCTTCAGCTTCTTTTGCTTGGTTCCTTGGTGATCTCCATGTGACATCTATCTTCCCCCCGTCTGTGCTCCTTTGCCTAATCTGCTCCTTTTATATCTCAAAAGAGATTGACTCAATGAATTTCGTCGGTCACTAAAGAACAAATATTGTATAAGACCATTATTATAAGAACTCAAGGAAACGTTTAAACACAGAAGAAAACATTCTTTGATGGTTACGAGGGTGCGGAGGGAGGGTAAGGGTTATTCACTAACTAGACAGCAGATAAGAATTAATCTTAGGTGAAGGGGAGGGCAGCACACACTACAGGGGAAGTCAGCACAACTGGACTAAACCAAAGCTAAGAAGTTTCCTGAATACAACCAAACGCTTCAAGGGACAGAGTAGCAGGGGCGGGGGTCTGGGGACCATGCTTTCAAGGGACATCTAGGTCAACTGGCATAACAAAGCTTATTAAGAAAATGTTCTGCATCCTACTTTGGTGAGTGGCGTCTGGGGTCTTAAAAGCTTAAAAGCGGCCATCTAAGATCCATCGATTGGTCCCAACCACCTGGAGTAAAGGAGAATGAAGAACACCAAAGACACAAGGAAAGTATTAGCCCAAGAGACAGAAAGGGCCACATAAACCAAAGACTTCATCAGCCTGAGACCAGAAAAACTAGATGGTGCCCGGCTACCTGCAATGACCGCCCTGATAGGGAACACAACAGAGTCCCTGATGGAGCAGGAGAAAGGTGGAGTGCAGAACTCAAATTCTAGTAAGAAGACCAGACTTAATGGTCTGACTGAGCCTGGAGGGACTGCAGAAGATATGGCCCCTCGGACTCTCTGTTAGCTCAGAACTGAAACCATTCCCAAAGCCAACTCTTCAGACAAAGATTAGACTGGACTATGGGACATAAAATGATACTCTTGAAGAGTGTACTTCTTAGCTCAAGTAGATACAAGAGACTAAATGGGCAGCTTCTGTCCGGAGGTGAGATGAGAAGGCAGAGAGGGTCAGGAGCTGGTTGAATGGACACAGGAAATCAGGGGTAAATCAGGGTGGAAAGGAGGAGTGTGCTGTCACAGTATAGGGAGAGCAATTAGGGTCGCATAACAATGTGTGTATAAATTTTTGTATGACAAACTAATTTGAATTGTGAACTTTCACTTAAAGTACAACAGTAAAATAAAGGTGAGGATATGGAGTAAAAAAAAAAAGAAAAAAAGAGAGAGATTGATTCAAGACACCTGCTGTACTCATACTGGCTCATTAACATAACAAAGAATCCATTCCCAGATGAGACCTTAGCAACAGCTACAGTCCTATTTACAACCCATAGCAAGCCTGTATTGGTGACGCCAACGAGGATGTACTTCTGTGAGGTGGTGGTTGGGTACAGCTGAGTTGATTCCAACTCATAGCGACCTCATGGGACACAGTAGAACTGTCCCATAGGGTTTTCTAGGCTGTGATCTTTATGGGAGCCGACTGCCAGGTCTTTCTCCCTCAGAGCCACTGGGTGGGTTTGAACTGCCGACCTATCAGTTAGCAGCTGAGCCAGTCACTTAACCTTTGTTCCCACAGGGCTCCATTCCATAGTATGACAGTTGTGGAAAACCCTATGGAGCACAATTCTACTCTGAAAGACATCGGGTTACCATGAGTTGGAATCGACTATTCTGACAATTTTTTTTTTGTAAAGCCTGGCAATGAACCAGTTAAGTGCTAGACCGCTGAGAAAAACGGTGGTGGTTCTCGTCTTAGTCATCTAGAGCTGCCGCAACAGAGACAGCACAAGCGGATGGCTTTAACAAACAGACGTTTATTCTCTCCCAGTCTAGGAGGCTAGAAGTTTGAACTCAGGGTGTCAGCTCCAGGGGAAGGCTTTCTCTCTCTCTTGGCTCTGGGGGAAAGTCCTTGTCATCAATCTTTCCCTGGTCTGGGAGCTTCTCAGCACAGGGATCCTGGGTCCCAAGGACGCGCTTCCCTCCTGGTCCTTCATACTTGGGAGTAGGAGGGCTCTCTCTTCTCTGCTCACTTCTCTCTTTTATATCTCCAAAGAGATTGACTCAAGATACAACCTAACTCTGTAGATTGAGTCCTGCCTCATTAACATAACTGCCTCTAATCCTGCCGCATTAACATCATAGAGGTTTGAATTTACAACACATAGGATAATCACATCAGCTGACAAAATGGTGGACAACCACACAGTATCGGGAATCATGGCCTGGCCAAGTTGGCATACATTTTTGGGGGACACAGCTCAATCCATAACCCACCCAAAGGCACCTTGCAAGAAATGCCTGGTGATCTACTTCAAAACATCAGCCATTGAAAACCCAATGGAGCAGTTTTACCCGGACACACGGGTGCTCTCCATGAATTGGAACCAGCTCGACAGCAACTGGAGTTTCCAACTGCATTGTTATTGCGAAGGGTCTTCAGATTTATATGTTCATTAGTAAAACCTCTTGTACATCAGAATAATGTCTTGCTAATGCGTGTAAATTTTGGGATTAGAAAAATAGGCATGCATTTGGAGTTGTTTATCTTTTAAAACTAGAGCTCTTGTTTGGCTTAGTGAAGTTTATCACCTTCTAAGATGGAACATTCCTCCTACCTACAGCCCCGTCTTTGTATCGCTGTTCTCTCATACCTCCCGGCCAGTGCGCCGTGCTTATTTCTTAGTGAGTATTGTTGTTGGTTGCTGTGTAGTCACCCCGAATTCGTGGAGACCCCATTCACAGCAGAACGAAATGCTGCCCAGTCCTGTGCCATCCCCGTGATCGCTTGTGGGTTTCCATTGGCTGATTTTTGGAAGTAGATTGCCAGGCCTTTCTTCCTAGTCCCTCTTAGTCTGGAAGCTCCACGGAAACCTGTTCAGCATCACAGCAACACGCAAGCCTCCACGGACAGACGGGTGGTGGCTGCAGATGGGGTGCGCTGGCCGGGAATCGAACCTGGGTCTCCCGCGTGGGGGGCCCTGGTGGCGCAGTGGTTGAACGTTGGCTGTTTGAATCCACCAGCCGCTCCTTGGAAACCCTATGGTGCGCTTCTACTCTGTCCTCTAGGGTCGCTAGGAGTCGGAATCGGCTTGACAGCAACAGGTTTGGGTTTTTGGTTTTAATGATACTATGGCTGGTGTCCTGGGTGTGCCCTTGTTTCGTGTATTTGCCAGCTGGCTGCAGCTCATTAGGATGAGCCTTGGACGGAAGCATCAGCCATGTTGTCATGATCAAAGAAAATACAAGGGTCCTAGCAGATTTGACACTCGTGTTCCGATCTTGGCTAACATTTTCACGTGACAACCCCTGGGTGTCTCCAGTCCTGTGGGGGTGCTGCTACTTTTTAGCTCCTCCATAAGCTTCTGGGATTCAATCCCAACTCACGGCGTCCCCATGTGTGTCAGAGTAGAACAGTGCTCCACACAGTTTTCAGTGGCTGATTTTTCAGAAGGGGACCGCCAGGCCTTTCTTCTGAGGCACTCTGGGTGTTCTCGAACCTCCAACCTTTTTTTTTTTGTTAACTGTGTGGACCACTCAGGGACATTCCATTGGATCATAGGCATGCTTGTATCTTATCTTCTCCTTCCTCTGCCAATCCTTGCAGCGCTCCCGGATCCTTTTTCCTCCCTGTCTCCCTCACGTGAAAACCCTCTTTCACCATCAACTGTCAGCTCCCAAGGACGTATTTGTTTCTTTTCCTTTTTGCCAAAACTTCTAAGATAGAGATGTTGGTGGCGGTGGTGCCGTCAGGCTGATTCCAATTCATGGCACCCCCGTGTGTGTCAGAGCGGAACCGTGCTCCACAGGGTTTTCACTGGCTGGTTATTCTGAAGGAGATCCCCAGGCCTTTCTTCCAAGGTGCCTCTGTGTAGATTTGAACCGCCAACCTTTCCGTGAGCGAGCGCATTAACCGTTTGCAATACCAGGGACCCCTAGTGTTAGAACATTGTTGTGTGCTGTCGAGTCGGTTCCTGTTCACGGACACCCATCTGGCAGAGCAGAACTGCCCCCTAGGGCTTCCTCGGCTGTAATCTTTTTTGTTTGTTTGTTTTTTATTGTAGTTTAAGTGAAAGTTTACATTTCAAGTTAGTCTCCCACACAGAAATTTATACATACATTGTTAAGTGACCCTAATTGCTCTCCCCATACTGTGACAGCACACTTCTTCTTTCCACCCCTGATTCCCATGTCCATTCAACCAGTTCCTGACCCTCTCTGCCTTCCCATCTCACCTCCGGACAGAAGCTCCCCATTTAGTCTCTTGTATCTACTTGAGCTAAGAGGCACACTCCTCACGAGTATCACTTTATGTCCCATAGTCCAGTCCAATCCCTGTCTGAAGAGCTGGCCTCGGGAATTGTTTTAGTTCTGTGTTGACAGAGAGTCCAGGGGCCATGCTTTCCAGGGTTCTTCCAGTCTCAGTCAGACCATTAAGTCTGGTCTTCTTACTAGAATTTGAGTTCTGCACCTCACTTTTCTCCTGCTCCATGAGGGACTCTCTGTTGTGTTCCCTGTCAGGGCGGTCATTGGTGGTAGCGGGGCACCATCTAGTTCCTCTGGTCTCAGGCTGATGAAGTCTCTGGTTTATGTGGCCCTTTCTGTCTCTTGGGCTAATATGTTCCTTGTGTCTTTGGTGTTCTTCATTCTCCTTTGCTCCAGGTGGGTTGGGACCAATTGATGCATCTTAGATGGCCGCTTGCAAGGTTTTAAGCATCATGTCGTTGTCGTTAGGTGCCGCCGAGTCAGTTCTGACTCCCAGCGACCCTATGTACAGTAACAGAACGAAACACGGCCCGGTCCCGCGCCATCCTCACCATTGTTGCAGCCACTGTGTCAGTCCATCTCGTCGAGGGTCTTCCTCTTTTTCGCTGACCGGCTGCTTTACCAAGCCTGATGTCCTTCTCCAGGGACTGATCCCTCCTGATAACATGTCCAAAGTACATAAGACAAAGTCTCACCGTCCTCAATTCTAAGAAGCATTCTGGCTGTATGTAACTGGTTTTATGTCTGTAGAGAACAAATATCTTTTATGGGCAGGAGGAAATCTGTAAACAATTAAGCTGTTGATTACTAACTGAAAGATTGGAGGTTTGAGTCCACTCAGAGGCACCTCGGAAGAAAGGCCTGGTGATCTACTTCTGAAAAATTAGTGATGGAGATCCCCATGGAGCACAGTTCTACTCTGACACACATGGGGGCGCCTTGAGTTGGAATCAGCTCAACAGGAGGGGGTTTGGTTCTGGCTTTTCTGTGCGTGGCCCCCCAGCGTGCAATTGTTACCCTCACAGGTTCTGGACATACCACGACGAACGTTTCCTGTACATGCTGATGGAGTTCGTGCCGGGCGGGGAGCTGTTCAGCTACCTGCGGAACCGAGGGCGCTTCAGCAGCAACACAGGGCTCTTTTACTCCGCGGAGATCGTGTGCGCCATCGAGTACCTGCACTCGAAGGAGATCGTGTACCGCGACCTGAAGCCCGAGAACATCCTACTGGATAAGGAGGGCCACATCAAGCTCACCGACTTCGGCTTCGCCAAGAAGCTGGTGGACAGGTAAGAGAGACCATCATGTGGTTGGGCTGATGGGACAATGTAGGAAAGCCGTCGAAGCCGAGCCATGTAAGACAGGGAGTGGTTTTCAACACGTCACCCTCGCGCCCATAAAAACAGGAGATGTAGGAAAAAGGAAACATAGTGATGATTCCTGGTGGTCAAGCTGGTTGTTGCTGGGTGCCTTCGAGTCAATTTTCCACTCATGGCGACTCCATGTGACCGAGGAGAACTGCCCCATAGAGTTTCCTAGGCTGCGATTTTACAGGAGCAGATCGCCAGGTCTTTCTCCTGCAGAGCGGCTGGTGGGTTTGAACTGCCAACTTTTGGGTTAGCAACTGAGCGCTTAACTGTTGTACCAGCAGGGCTCCTTGGGGTTAAGTGTGCCCTGTGTGAAATGGGCTGGGATTGTGTTGGTGGTGTGGGTAGGTGGAAAATCATCCTCCCTGTCCCCTCCATGGTATGAAATGAAAGACTCAAGTCATCACATGTTCCATTGAGGAATTTTCATGACGAGGAAGTTAAATTTCATGGGTGGGCTACTATAGCTATGAAGTGAATGTGCAGTGATATGAATATAAAGTAACTATTTTTTAAAAAATTGCGTGTATATATGTGTGTTTGTAAATATATATATTTGCCTGTGTATGTATGTGTGTGCGTATTTCCAATTGTATATATTCCATTATATTAAAAAAAAGTATGTTTGTAAAAAATTATGTATATTTGCCTATCTATGTGTGTGTATATATATTCCCAATTATATAGAGTTCATTATATGTATGACTGATAATTTGTATCAATTACATGCCTTTATTACTTATAGCTCCCTTTATATATATATAGTTGCATTAAATACATATATTTCTACTGTTTCCATTTACATGCGTAGACACACATATTTGTATATATTATTCAATATATTATATATAATATATATTACTAGATTTACATATATGTGTGTTATTCACAACCTTCTATTTGTAAATGAGAAAATATATATGTTTCATCCATGTGTCACAGGTATCAGGATTTCACCTCTCTTTATGGCTGAGTAATATTCCATTGTGTGGATGGACTACATTGTGTTTATCCATTCATCTGTTGGTGGGCACTTAGGTTGCTTCGAACTTTTGGCTATTGGGAATAATGCTGCTCTCAACATTCATGCCCCCTCCCTCTATTTTCGTGGTATATGGTTCCTATTTTTATATATATAAACATTTATTATACATACTTTCATTATATATAGTTTCATTTATATGTATATATTTTTCTGTTAATATGTATTCCTTTTATATATGTATTTCGTTCATGTGTGTGTGTGCGCCTCAAACACAGGCATTCTAATTCCTGGGATCCCCTAATTTGATACCAATCTGATCAATAACTCTTCTTTGCTTGTCCTATAATGGCCTGCCAGTTATTCCTTATGTCCCTTACAGACAGTAGGGGACACCAGCAACAACGTGCATAGTCGGCATTCAGACCCTTACAAGAAGTGCCGTTAGAGTGTTCTGTGATCCAGTCTGCATGCTTGAACTCCTCCAAGTTAAGTTTTACTTCCTAAAGAACTTTGAATTCCTTTGTTGTTGTTAGGTACCTTTGAGTTGGTTCCGACTCATAGCGACCCCATGTACGACAGAACAAAACACTGCCTGGTCCTGCGCCATCCTCACAATCCTTGCTATGCTTGAGCCCATTGTTGCAGCCACTGTGTCAGTCCATCTCGTTGAGGGTCTTCCTCTTTTTTGCTGACCCTCTACTTTACCAAGCATGATGTCCTTCTCCAGGGACTGATCCCTCCTGATAACATGTCCAAAGTATGTGAGCCATAGTCTCGACATCCTCGCTTCTGAGGAGCAGAATATTCTGGCTGTACTTCTTGCAAGACAGATTCGTTTGTTCTTTTGGCAACCCATGGTATATTCAATATTGTTCTCCAACACCATGATTCAAAGGCATCCATTCTCCTTCAGCCTTCCTTATTCATTGTCCAGCTTTGGCATGCGTATGAGGTGATTGAAAATACTATGGCTTGGGTCAGGCACACCTTAGTCCTCAATGGCACATCTTTGCTTTTCAACACTTTAAAGGGGTCTTTTGCAGCAGATTTGCCCAATGCAATACGTCGTTTGATTTCTTGACTGCTGCTTGCGTGAGTATTGATTGTGGATCTAAGTAAAATGAAATCCTTGACAACTTCGATCTTTTCTCCATTTATCATACTATTGCTTATTGGTCCAGTTGGGAGGATTTTTGTTTTCTTTATGTTGGGGTGTAATCCATACTGAAGGCTGTGTTCTTTTAATCTTCAGCAGTAAGGACTTCAAGTCCTCTTTGCTTTCAGCAAGCAAGGTTGCAGTATTTGATCTTCATCAAATGAACTCCTTTATACAGTTCCAGATACATGTGTTGAGAGACTGCGTATACTTTAACACTCTAAAACTCTATTGGCAAGGCCAGAGGGGTGGGTGGTTTGGAGACAGCTTCCAATCAGAAATACAGTTTGAAGCCCATCTTGAGACTTTGGTACCTAAGAGTTAACAATGAGAAGGAGATAGTATCTTCTCAGAAGCTTCTTGCTGCTGTTAGCTGCTGTCAAGTCTATTTTTGACTCTTAGCGACCCCACGTGACAGAGTAAAACTGCTCCATGGAGTTTTCTAGGCTGTAGTCTTTATGGAAGCAGATCGTTGTATCTTTCTCTTTTGGAGCCACTGGATGGAGTCAAACTGCCAACCTTTCTGTGGGCAGTCCAGTGCTTAACCGTTGTCCCACCACGGCTTCTTACATCTCAATTAGGGCACTAGATTTTCATCAGAAATACTTGATCTGTGTTTGGAGTTTTATAAAGTTTACAGTGGAAAGCCTAGATTCACATACCCAAGCCATTTCAAAAATACTTACAAGTTTTCCAATAACTGAATTGAATACCAGATTTTAAATTTAAATAAGATTAGGAAGTCGCTTCCTCAGTTGACCTGCTACATTTCAAGAGCTCATGTGAGGAGTGATTACTATGTTGTGAAGCCCAGGTCTGGAAAATAAACCCATATTTTGTCATTCCTTGATGAAGTGGGGATGCATAAGTGAATAACTTATATGCTCCTAACATTATAGTAACATCTGCACAGGTGGGGCACTTTATTTGGGGGACAACTTTATGCTGTATGGATTCCTGTCTTTTCTGACCCATTTTCTTTTTTTGTTTTTATTTTTATTTTTCCTGATCGTCTTTCAAAAGTGGCAGTCTCATGACCATTTCATTTTGTTTTTTATTGTGCTTTAGATGAAGTTTTAATGAGCAAATTAGTTTCTCATTAGACAATTAATACACATATTGTTTTATAACACCGATTAACAACCCCACGACCTGTCAACACTGTCCCCTCTTGACCTTGGGTTCCCTATTACCAGCTTTCCTGTCCCCTCCTGCCTTCTCATCCTTGTCCCTGGACTGCTGTGCCCCGTTAGTCTCATTTTGTTTTATGGGCCTGTCTCATCTTTGGCTGAGGGTGAACCTCGGGAGTGACTTCAGTACTGAGCTATAATGGTGTCCGGGCGCCATACTCTCAGGGTTTCTCCAGTCTCTGTCAGACCAGTAAGTCTGGACTTTTTTTGTGAGTTAGAATTTTGTTCTACGTTCTTCTCTACCTCTGTCCAGGACCCTCTGTTGTGATCCCGGTCAGAGTAGTCAGTGGTGGTAGCCAGGCACCATCCAGTTGTGCTGGACTCAGTCTGGTGGAGGCCGTGGTAGTTGTGGTCCATTAGTCCTTTGGATGAATATTTCCCATGTGTCTTTGGTCTTCTTCATTCTCCCTTGCTCCAGACAGGGTCTTGTGACCATCTTATGATGCAGTTTTCTGTTCAATTCAATCGATTTTCCCCTATAGAATTTAATCTATTGCAATTCTAATAGTAAAGCAGATAAAAGTGGTTTTTTTTTAACATAGATGAGTGGAGACATGGATTCTAGCATTCAGAGACAAAATGGCATTTATAACATTGGTGCTGCCCCCTGCTGACAGCACGAACTATACTACTGTACGTTTTAATTTATTATCATTATTTTTGAATTGTGGTAAGAGACCTAAGGAGCCTTGGTGGTTCAATAGTTAAGTACCTGGCTGCTAACTGAAAGGTCTGTGTTCAGTTCCACCCAGCCACTCCATGGGAGAAAGACCTGGGATCTGCTCCTGCAAAGATTACCGCCTAGAAAACCCTCTGGGGCAGTTCTGCTCTGTCACATGGGGTTGCTATGAGTCGGAATTGACTTAAGAGCAGCAAACGACAACAGCAACAAAATACATATAGTGTCAGATTTGCCATTATAGCCACTTATACTCGCACAAGTCAGTCACAGCAAACGCGTGCTATGTGACCGTCACCCGATCCATTTCAAAAATTCTTCATCACCCTAAACAGAAGCTCCATGCCCTTTGCTTTATAACTCCCACTCCTTCCTGCCCCAGCCCCTGGTAACCGCTAATAACCTTTGGTCCCTGCGTTTGCCTGTTGTAGATGTTTTCTCTCAGGAGGCTTATACAGGAGTTTTTCCTTTATGTCTGACTTATTTCACTCAGCAGCAGATTTTCAAAGTTCCTCCATGTCGTACCAGGTATCAGGGCTTCATTGCTCTTGTAGCCTTTATTTATGTATTTATATTGTACTTCAGGTGAAGGTTTACAGAACAAATAGTTTCTCATTCAACTGTTAGTACACATGTTGTTTTATGACCGTGGTTAACAACCCCACGACATGTCAACACTGTCCCCTCTCGACCTTGGGTTCCCCATTACCAGCTTTCCTGTCCCCTCCTGCCTTCTAGTCCTTGTCCCTGGACTGTTGTGCCCGTTTAGTCTTGTTTTGTTTTATGGGCCTGTCTAGTCTTTGGCTGAAGGCTGAACCTCAGGAGTGACTTCAGTACTGAGCAACGAGGGTGTTCGGGGGCCATATTCTTGGGGTTTCTCTAGTCTCTAGTCCTTTTTGTTTTTGTGAGTTA